TTCATCAGCCTGAGACCAGAAGAACTAGATGGTGCCTGGCTACCACCAATGACCGCCCTGACAGGGAACACAACACAGAGTCCCTGATGGAGCAGGAGACAAAGGTGGGGTGCAGAACTCAAATTTTTGTAAGAAGACCAGACTTAATGGTCTGAGACTGGAGGGACCCCAGAAAGCATGGCCCCTGGATTCTCTGATCAGCCCAGAACTAAAACAATTTCCGAGGCCAACTCTTCAGACAGGGATTGGACTGGGCTGTCGGACATAAAGTGATACTCGTGAGGAGTGTGCCTCTTAGCTCAAGGAGATACAAGAGACTAAACGGGCAGCTTCTGTCTATAGGTAAGATGGGAAGACAGAGAGGGTTAGGAGCTGGTTGAATGGACATGGGGAATCGGGTGGAAAGGGGGAGTGTGCTGTCACAGTATGGGGAGAGCGATTAGAGTCACATAACAATGTATGTATACATTTTTGTATGGGAAAAAAAGAAAAACATCTGGAAGGGGGAAAAAAAAAACCTAAAAACTATTTTCAGAGCAGTGACTCAAGTTATTATACTCTGGATAACCCCAAATCTTCCTAGCACTCAATAAAAAATGGCTGACTATCTCAAGTCCCCAGAGCAAGCTGTTTGCATAAAGGTATGAATCTAATGTGTTCAACAGTCTACAACTGACATTTAAAAAACAGTCTCCAAACAGTCAATGCTAATTTTAGCTCAGTTTTTACACAAACTTTCTCCCACATTTGAAGTGTAGGTTATTTTCTGAAGGGTATGATTTCTTTTGCTAGTTCGTATGTGCATTCACATAAGGAAACAACCAGAGATCTTTAATTCTCAGTAAGTCTCCTGCACCACCTCATCTTCTACCAGTTACTCTACCACCTTCATATCAACACTGGTTTATAATTTACCAAATGCTTCCCTCCCATTATTCAACAAATGTTTATGGAACACATATTATGTGCCACTAGGGATTCAATGGCCATAGCTCTAGTTTCTATTTTCAAGTTCTTAGGTTGGACATTTATTTCTATTATAACCCTGTGAGGGTGGCAGGGTATTATTCCCATTTTTAAAGGTGAGCAAATAAGCTTGGAGTTCAACTTTTCTCAAGATCATATGCTTTGTAAGGGACAGGACTGGAAGCAAGGACTTCTTGTGCCTAATGCCGTATGCTATTAGAACAGATTGCTTCTTTGAAACTAATTCTATTTAACACTATTTTAATTTTTTGCTCTGTTAAGTCTTTTTCATCTTTTAGTCTTTTCCACGTTGTTTTCTGTCTCGCCACGTGAAGCAGAAACCATGCCTTTTATTTATTCCTAATTTTAACCACACAGTGGGCAGTCTGATAGTGACTGCTGTAAAAAAAAAAAAAAAAATTACTCATCCTGAATGCAGAAACAACTCACCTTAAAAGGAGATGCTAAATTCACGTAAAAAGACCAGACTTAATGGTCTGACTGAGACTGGAGGAACCCTCGAGGCCATGGCCCCCAGGTTGTTCTGTTAACCCAGAACTGAAACCATTCCCAAGGCCCACTCTTCAGACAAAGATTAGACAGGACTATAAAACATACAGTAATACTCGGGAAGAGTGTGCTTCTTAGTTCAAGCAGATACGTGAGACCAAATAGGCGGCTCCTGTCCAAAGGCAGGATGAGAAGGCCGGAAGGGACAGGAGCTGGCTGGAGGGACATGGGAAACCCAGGGTGGAAAGGAGTGTGCTGTCATTACAGGGACTGCAACTAGTGTCACATAATGATATGTGTATTAAATGTTTGTATGAGAAATTAAACTTTCACTTAAAGCACAATTAAAACAAATATTCAAAAAAATAATAAAAAAGATGCTTATAATGGCCATCCTTCCAGGTAAGGCCATTTGCACCCTAGCTGTTCAGGCGTTAAAATATTTAAATACTGTTGGAAAATAACCTCTCTTCTGAGCTTTCTGAGGCATTGCCCTGCTCCAACCTTGCCCCAGAGATTTCCCTAATTAGTGTTAGTAGTTGGCAAAGCAGAGGGCCTCCACGATCCTGCTCCAAAATTATGGTCAGCTGCTGTCCTGACTGGTCAGTGCCTGTGCTTTATCAGTTGACAAATATCTTGAATAACCCTTCTGCTTTCAGAGAAGAACCTGGGATGCAATCAGGCCAGTCTTGCCTCTCTAGGCTCTATAGTATCAAGGCTGCCTGTCTTCAAGTAACAATGTGGCTTGTTGCCTACTGACGTAATCTGAGGAGTGCAGGGAAACCCTTCCCTTATTATTAAAATTTTATTAACACGTCAGTGTGAATTGGTTTATGAGATCCTCTCCAATAAAAGTTACCTGAAAAGACAGTTCTTCAGGAAGAGGGAGTGGAGGGGGGAGATGGATTCAGAGCATGGAGAGTACCTGAAGTCAGTCTCAAGGGCCTAGAGTGGTATGCTAAGACAGAAGACAGCAGAAGGCAGATATAGGAAGATGCTTTTTTAATTCCTTTGACCTATGATGAAACTTGTACTCTTAACATTACTTTTAAACTGAATAAACGCTTTTCAACAAATAAGAAGGTCAGAATGATTTAAAAAAAAAAGCTCAGCACATTAATGAATGGGCTAACTGCCAAAACTTGGGAGTGAAGTTGCTTAATTTTACATGAGTTATTTGAATAAAACCATTGTAAACGGTTGTAAAAAATGATTTAAAAAAACACCATTGTAAAATGATTTAAAATAGAATGATCATTCTGCAAGTAGGTACAACATCACTGTATATACAGAAGAGAAACCAGCAAGGGTGTACACTGGGAAGCAAATATAACTTGTTAAAATGAAGCCACATCGAATATCATAAAAGTAATTAAAAAGTCAAAATGCAGCGTTACTTATATCTGATTGAAAGGGAAAGTTTGAACATTACATAGTTAAACGTTTACATAGCATGTGAATTCTGGCCTCCTATGTTTAAGATGGAGACCCTGGGTAATGCTTGGCTGCTAACCAAAAGGCTGGCAGTGCAAGTCCACCCAAAGATGCCTCGAAAGAAAGGCCTGGTGATCTACTTCCAAAAAATCAGCCATTGAAAACCTTATAGAGCACAGTTCTACTGTGACACAGTGGGTCACCAAGAATTGGTGTTGACTCAACAGCAACTGATTGGTTGGTTGGCTGGATGTTTAAGTTAGCAAAAAGTCTTAAAGTTTACCTAAAATGATGTGCCCTAATCCCACCCATCACCAGATAAACAGACACTGAAACTGAGACTGATTCCTTCCTAATTTTACAACTTTATTCTTGGTTTCCCTCTAAAAAGAGACCAAAATGATTGTGGAGCTGACTCATACCTATACAGTAAGCAACCACAAGTAGTGTTACTCACATAACAATGAAAGCCAAAAGATACTACAGTGTTTTTACCTTTTAGCTACTGATGTTATGTATATTACAAATAAGCACAGCTGTGAATCTGTAAGTTGACTGTACTAATCTCTGTAAAATTTCAGAAATGAGCACAGCTGAGTATATGGGCACTTCCTTATCTCACAGTGTAAAAGCAAGCATTTTCTATTTAAAATTTTTATTTCTGTAAAACAAAGTCAGAATTCCTAGGGGTCAAACACAGAAAAAATACACCAAACTCAAAGCACTATTAAATTGTGAAATAAAGATGAATCTGAGGTAGAAGTCAATATAATCTTTTTTAGGGGACTATTTACTCCTAGCTACCATCGTATGTCTCTAGTAAAACCTATTAAAAAAAAAAAAGTCTCAAATTGTAAAAAATTAACAATCCACTCTCTAAAATCAGATGTAAAACTATGACCAAACAGAAGACACACACAAACTTTTGTCATGTTAACAAAGAAAATAGTTTTACTAAAAGCTGCTGACATCCTATCAGTAGTAACCATAAGGAGGCCGCTGGTTGTAACCATAGTGTCCATACTGGTGGGGGTGATAAGGTTCTTGTCTGTGCTGCTGGTAACTGTTACCCCAGGATCGTCCATGCCACTGGTTGGATCGATTGTCACTTGGCCACCCTCGTCTGTTATCCCTACCTCTAAACTGTCTGTTATCTTGCAACCTACAACAAAACAAAATGGTTTTTAAACTTTCCTTTGAAAAAAACACATGACACATCTATCCCAGTATATTTTATTTCTCAGTCTTGTACTCAGTAAACAAGAGAGTAAAAAATATTTTTTCTCTACAGAATGTTACACCACCAGTTACTCAAAATTTTTTCAAGATGTAAATCATTCTTCCAATATTACACTGGATATACTTTGCAAAGAAATAGGCAGACTACAATAACAAACCCAAACCAACAGGATAGTTTTAAATCAAACTGAAAGCTATTAAACTGCATAAAAGCCATGTGGTGATTTATCCCTTTGACTACACTAAAATATTAAATAGAATTTCCATTTTATAAACTTTTTCTAAAGTAAAACCAAAATAATACCCTCTTTATGGAGTTTAACTCAAAATTTTGTGGAAAACTGTGGGTTTTTTTTTTTTTCTTGTATAGTTGCAAAAAATACTTACTCCATAAAAAGAACATTTAAAAAAAAATTAAAACACACAATTAAAATGCAAGGAAAAAACAGATGGTGCTAACAAAATACTAAAGCAAATATTTATCAGGTACTATGTGCCATGCACTGTTACCAGGGACTAGGTATACCATACTGAACAAAACATTGGTCCCTGTCCTCACTGACCTTTCTGGCAGATTAAAGCTACCCTCCCTCAGATCAGCCATCTACATTCATTCTTCTGAAGTAATACATACCGGTTGCCTCTATTTCTCTGGTTTCCACCAGCTCTGCTATTCCATTCCTCGACAATTGGTGGGGTCTCAGGAGGGCGTTTCAGGTATTCTTGGTATTCTTTGTCATCTTCTGTGAATCTACTGGCAAACATCTCTTCAAAATTTGAAACATCTTCAGAAGTGTCAGTCATTCTGAAATCCTGTACAGTTTTTAATTAGAATTTTTTTTAAATTAACACTATTGTACTAGTTAATGAAAAACAAGAAGTGAACAATTTTAGGCAGAGTATTCATAAAAATCCTTGTGTACTTGTAAAACCTAAGTTAGATTTCAGACATTCAGCTCAACATTTCTTGACTACTATGTTTATGTATTGTGCTAACAAGGAGCCTGGAACACAAAGATGAACAATACATGGACCCTGCCCTCAAAGAGTTCCCAGTCTAACAGAAAAGACAGATACAGTATAAATATAAAGGAAGGACCAGGGAATGTCAAGAAATGAGGCTGAAGAGCAGGGGCTAAATTGTGTTCTGTATTCAACACAATTTGCACTTTTTCTTGTAGGCAATGGGGAGTCATGGGTGGTTTAAGCAGGGAAGTCTCAAGATCAAATCTACTTAGAAGGGTCACTTTTCTAACAGGGTAGACAATAGATTAGTGAGATTAGACTAGAGGCAGATGACTTAACATAATATAGGTGACATGCTGAGGACTTAATCTGAGACAGGGACTGTGAGAATAGTTTTAAAAAGAACTCCAAAAGAAATTGATCACTGACTAGATGTTGAGGGGGTAGTGAGAAATAAAGGATAACACCCAGGCTTGTGGCCAAATGGTGTCATAGAAACTACAGGAAGAAGGGTGGGCTAGAGTACACACAGAGTTTAAATCAAATGGAGTCAGTTCACAGTTATCTCTTTGAGTCTGAGAGATGAGTTGAAAATGAATATGGGAGTCATCAACAATTTTGTTGGTGCTTAATGCTGTGAGAATGGATGATACGCCTCAGGGACAATGTGGAATAAGAAGAGATCTAGGTCCAGAATCCTGGAGAACATCAATATTTAAAGAACCAGCAAAGATGAAGAAGGAATAAGAGAAGAACACACATACAGAGATAAGAAGAGAATCAGAAGAGATTAACATAGAAACCAAGAGAATAAAGAGTGAATGGGCAACAGTGGCAAATGGTAAAGTGATAAAAAGAACCAAAAAGAGAAAACTGGATTTAGCCATTAGGAGGTGTTTTATAGCAGTAGGGATTGAAGCAGGACTGTAATTGATTAAGAAGTAACTGGAAGGTAAGGAAGTAGAAATACACCCTGAGTGTAGACTAAGCTTTCAAGAAACTTGGTGGAAAACAGAAGAAAAAAGATAGGGTAGTAGCTAAGGGATTAATGAGAGATTATCTCTTGTTATTCCCAGGACAGGACACAGCAGTTTGTTAATAGGAGAAGGGAAAGAAGGCAATAAGAGGGAAGACTAAAAATACATGAGAGATATGACAGAAAATGTTTGAAGCCATTTAAATACATAGCTAGTAAAGTCCAGGATAATTACTTTTATAATTGTAGCCACTGTATTCTTCTTCCAGATTCTGTAACTACTGTAGATAAGATATTGTCTAATGCTAAAAAACTGAAATCTGTATCAGCTGTTTTTCCAGGTCAATAATGGATTCACCCAACAAGCAGTATTTCTTCATCAAGTCCCCCACATTCTCAAAGAGCTCTCTACCTCTAGGAAAGGGTTTCGCTTAGGCTGCAGAAGGCCTAACCCTTGAGGAACCAGGGAGAAAGAGTTCGCGTGCGTAACAACTTCACAAGGTAAAATCTTATCCGTTGAAAATAGGGGTCCATCTTTCAGATTTGCACTCAAACACTACTAATTTATACTGACAACAAAGCTATAGAATTTTGGCTGTGGTATAACTACCACTGGGAATTACTAACCAGAATGGGGTTACGCCGCACCAGGAGGTGAGCCCAGAGAACAAGACTAAGGTACTGACTGAAAACAACTGCGTTTTTCAGTCCTTCTCCCTTGTTATCACGGCTTTGATAATCCTGCTCCAAACAGAAGCACCTTAAATCTCCAGACCTGAGGGAAATCAGAGATCGTGAGGGCCAAGTGGTTCCCAGTCTCGCTAAGAGTCCAGACCCAGGACCCCACAGTCCGAGGACACCTTTCTCGCCGGCCGCTCAGCTCGGCCCGGCGCAGGCCCGCGTGCTCCGCCCTCCTCGCTGTTCCCTCCTACCCGTCCGGGAACGAGACACTCACCCGCCAAAGGCTGCGTCTATCCAGCTCGGGCCGGACTCCGCCCGCGACGGACGCAGTAGAAGTCACCTCGGACCCGCAACTCGGTCAGCGGAACTCGAGGTCACTTCAGCTCTCCAACCAAACAGAGCCACTTCCGGCAGTATCCGACAACCACCTGACTTCCGCTTCCGGCAGTCAAAAACAGAGGCGGGCGGGTTAAGTGTCGCGATATTTAAGGCTCCTGGCTCTGTGGATTTTTCGGGCCTTGTTGAAACTCTCAGAGCTGGCCTAGGTGTGGTCAGGTGGCGGCCTGACGGTGAGTGATGCACACTATGGGCGTTTAGCCAATATGGAGACTGAGCAGAAGATGTCACAGTATATAAAGCCCGCTTGACTTAGTAGGAACGGAAGTTCTGGGGATATACAGAGAAAGGAGGGAAAGGCTACTTCTGGCCATCTGCTCCAGGATTCTGAAGAACGTGAGAGGTGAGAGCAGGCGATGAACAGTAGACAGGCCTGGATTACTTCATTTTCCTTCTTGAAGAGGTAGGACTCATAAGGCAGTAAATTCTCTAAACAGAGGAAGAGTGTTCAAAAGATGCTTGGCAGCCAGGAAGCATGACAGTTACTTACCACACTCTGGTCTACCACTTACCACACTTTGCCTTGTATTATGGTTAGTTGTGTACATAAAATCACAGTGTTGAAGCACGGAAAGGGATCATCTGGTTGAACGTTTTTTTTTGTTGTTTGTTTTTTAAACTCACACGGCAGAAATGAATTGAGTTTTCCAAGGTCGCAAAGCAGGTTGGTGGCAGAACTGGAACTATAACCTTCAGGTGTTCTTCATTGATTTAAAAAATACATACTTCTAGTATTTATTATATGCCTGACACTGTTCTAGGCCCTGAGAACATCAGTGAGTAAGGGTAAAAGCCCTGCCCTCATGGAACTTACATTTCACGAGCACAATAGATATTTTAAAAAGTGACTATGTAAGTGCTATGAAGAATAATTGGGAATCCCTGGGTGGTGCAAATGGTTAACATTCTCGGCTGCTAACCAGAAGGTTGGAGGTTCAAGTCCACCCAGAGGCACCTCAAGAGAAAGTCCTGGTGATGTACTTATGAAAAACCAGCCATTGAAAACCCTATGGAGCACGGGTCTACTCTAACACACATGGGGTCACCACGAGTCAGAATCAACTCGATGGTAACTGGTTTAGTGGTTTATGAAGAATAATTAAGCCGAGTAAGGGGACAGAGTGTAACGGGCTACTACTTTGGATGGCATAGTAACTGGGAATGTATGAGAGTGAATAATTTTCATCTCAGCACATTTCCTCATAAAGGGAAGTCCCTCATAATTTCCCCTCCTTTCAGGAATGTAAAAATGAAGTACTTTGTGTATTTTTAATATTGTTTCCCTTCATTAGTGAGTAACTCATTTCTGGGACAAGGCATATGCGTATATACCTGAGTTTGTAATTACTAGACCGTGTCCAGTGGCAATATCGAACTACTGTGCTCTTCCCAGTAGCTTGGAATTGGCATTACAGACTTCTAAATTGTTCTTCTGTCACTGTATCATGTTATTCAAACCACCTTCCCCTTCATCTCCCACCCCTGTTCACAAACACACTGACCATCCTCCGTAGAGATGGATGCAATTCAGTAAATGAGTTACTAAACAAAAATCGAAAAATGACGGCCTCACACTCACTTGTTCTGATCTAGGCAAATCTCATCATGTTTTCCTGCCTTGACTGTATCTTCTGCACAATGGGAATAGTGATCCTTGCTACCTCATTGCTTCATGAAGTTGTGAGAATTAATTACTGTATTTGTAAAGTGCTTTAGGCTTAAGTGAGGAAAGACCTATGTGAATGCAGATAATAATTAGAGTTCTTATTATAAATTACATAAATGTTTAATCTCCAAGAAAACATTTCAAGTTATATGAGGCATTGGTTTAGATTCATATCTGTACTCCTGGGCCTTTAATTACTTGGAATTGTTTTGAACAGACATTACAAAACCCTAATCCAGTTCCCTACTTCTGTATCATGCTCTCACATAAGTGTCCTTTGTGTAGAGGACTTTCTGCAAGAAGTTAACCAATGCTAGTTGCAAGTTTGTTTGCTACCTGAGTATTACTATTTACTGCAGAAACCAGTTAATATCATTGAAGAAACCAGAGAAGGAAAGATAAATAATCTTGTGGATGAAAAAGCTGTGAATCGGGTTTAATGGAATTGGATTAAAGTCTTTTCCAATTTAAAATTTGTGATTGTGAAATGAAGGTGTATTTTCTTTTTTCCTAAGGTTTATTTTCTAAGTAACAGCACAAACTTTTTTTTTTTAAGTGGAAGTAGTTTGGGCTTTAGTTGCACAGTATTTGTCTATTTCTAGGCAAGACCAAATGATGGTTTTAATCATTAGTACTCTTCCTCCATTTTTGCAGCCGATTCCTCTGTATGCCCCATTGGCTAGCTGTGGTCATCTGCTCAGCATCTTGGTCTTCTACACCTCTTTATAAAATATGTGTATTGCTCTTAGAAGGGACCTTGAATACATGCAGAGAGACCAAAAGACTTGTCCAGAACTTACTCTCAAACACCCCTTCCTTCCTATCACCATATTCTCTCCTCCAGGTGATTTTCAAAAATCTTTTAGCTGAAATGATAATCATAATTTGATTGTCTGAAGCATTTTCTAAGCACTTGAAGGTGGCGTGAGTTAAGTAGGGATCCCTATGGTTAAGAGCTCGGCTGCCAACCAGAAGGTCAGCAGTTTGAATCCACCAGCCGCCCATTCAAAACCCTGTAGGGCAGTTCTACTCTGTCCTATAGGGCTGCTATGAGTTGGAATCGACTTGATGGCAATGAGTTTTTTGTTTGTTTTTTATATGAGAGTGAACTTTTGTGATCTTCCCCATTTTAAGAGGGCCTCTCTTCTGGCCTCAATCCACAGTCTTTGCAGCACTGGCATGTTCACTGTCCTTAGTGGCAGCTGGCCTGTTCTGCCGTTGTGTGAAGCCAACCTTATCAGCCGTAGCTCTTAACCACTGCACCACCAGGGCTCCAGCCTTTCAAAAGGAAGGTGCAAAAAGCCCCATCTTAAAACCGATGTTCAAGTGGTGCAAGCATCGTTGACATTAACCAGTAACCAGTTGCTGTCGAGTTGATTCTTATTCGAGGTGAGTTAGAGTAGAACTATGCTCCATAGGGTTTTCAATGGCTGATTTTTTGGAAGTAGATTGCCAGAATTTTCTTCCAAGGTGCCCTGGGTGAGTTCGAACCTCCAACCTTTCAGTTAGCAGCCAAGTGCATTAACCGTTTGCACCACCCAGAGACTACTCTTTGACATAAACCAAAAAACCAAACCCGTTGCCGTCAAGTTGATATCGACTCATAGTGACCCTATAAGGCAGAGTAGAACTGCTCCCAAAGGGTTTCCAAGGCTGTAAATCTTTAGAGAAACAGACTGCCACATCTTTCTCTCCTGGAGCAGCTGGTAGGGGTTCGAACAGCCGAGTGCTTAACCACTGCACCACCAGGGCTCCTCTCTTTGACATAGGTCAGTGTAATATAGGGAAAATAGGAAGAGCACCAGGCAAGGAGTCAAGAAACTTGAGTTAAGATCATACTCCCTGTGAGTTATAAGGCAAGTCACTGCCTTTCTGGACCTTTGTTTTTTATTTTGCAGATGAAATTGAGGCTTCAGCATCAATTCCCTTAATTTCCAAATCCCATATCTACGGCTTTGCCTCTTACTGCCTCTTTTCACCTTTTGTCTTCCAGTCTCTTGCTGCCGCGCATGTCTTTGGTCAGAGCACGTAGCCCTGCTCCTCTGGACATAGCTCCTGCAGTTATTCCTTCTCTCCTCTCTGTTTTCACCTCTCCCTCTTTATGGCGCCCCGCCCATGTAAACTTGCTCAAGTTTCTCCAGTCTCAAAGCAAAACCAATACACTGCCCTCCACCCTATATCCTGCTCTAACTACTTCATATCTCCTTTCCACACACTGTGAGTCTCCTACAAAGAATGCTCCACACCTGTGGTTTACACTTTCCCACCTTTTCTATTCCGTAGTCAGGTTTCTGCCCCCACTGAAACCACTGTGGCAACATTCACTAGGGCAAAGCTGTCCTCGGGCCCAAGTCAGTGACTCTCTGTCTAAAATCTTTAGTTTATTTAATATCTGTGCAGCGTTTGACACTTTTATTCCCTCCCTCCCTTAAATCTTCTCACTCTGTTTCCAAGTTTCTCATTATCATCAGCCCTGGGACACTGCTTCTCCTTGGCTAATTCCTCATTCCTCTGCTTGCTCTTTAAATGTTGGTGTCCCACAGCCCTGTCTGTACTCTCCTCGTGTTGCCTATGCAGACTCAGTCTCTGTTAGAGCTTCAGCTACCAGCTCTATGGTGATGACTCAACGGTGGATATCCCCAGTGTATATATCACATCAGAGCTCTAGACTCATAGATACTCCTGCCTATTAGAAATTTCCATCTGGATGTCTGACAGGCATCTCCAGCATATGTCTAAATTTCAGTTCATTTTCCCTCCCAAACCTGTTCATCTGCCTCCATTTCCATTTTCAGAGAATGTTTCCTCCTATTTACCCAAGCTGGAAACCTGGCATTCACCCTGGACTCCTCCCTCTCCCTCACCACGCCCAGTCCCTCTCCAAGTCCTGTGAATTCCAGACTTACTCCCCTCCAGACCTCTCTCCACCCTGTTTGTAGAATGTTCTTCCTGTATTATGAAACATACAGAAAAGTATTGATAATAATATAACCAATTCTTGTGTATCATCCAGCTCAGAGTCATTCTTTCTAAAACACAAACCTGGTTTCCTCTATCCCTTGATCTGCCCACCTTTCAGTGGTTCACACTTGCTTCTAGGATGCCGTCCAAGCTCCTTAGTGTGGAATACACTGCCCATCAAAATTTAGCTCTATCCTATCTATTCAGCCTCATCTCTTACCACTCTCCCTGTGGGAACTTTATGCACAGCCGTATCAAACTGCTTAAAGTTCCTAGAAAACTTTGTGCTGTATTGTACACACGCTGTTCCTTTTGTTTGCGATGCCCTCCCTACTCTGGTCTACCTGGTAAACCTTAGCCTCTTATGTCCTCTTCAGGTGTTCTTCCATAATACGTCCCTCA